TCAAATCGGTTTTGGTCAGCCCCAATAAAGAAGTTCGAAAATCAGTAGTAAAAGTCAATATTTAGTTAGACCATTGGAATTTTTGTGCTTTTATCAGTAATAAAACTAATCTTTTTTAAAAAAAAAACGTAAAATTTTACATATAATCAAAGCGATTTTATTCAATTTTGCTAAAAGTGGTACATGATATATATACAATATACATATATATATAGATATAGAAGAGACTGAAAAATGTATATTAGACTTATGGAAAAGAAGATGCGTTGAAATCAATAACTATGAAGCCTCCTATCGTTTTTTTTCTTCTTTCTGCAAGTCGGGTGCAATCGTACGAGTAGAGACGCACACAAAGACATCGACTTTCTCTCTCTCTATCTCTCTCTTTCTCTCTCATACACGGTTATTTTACGGTAAAGTATCCCGCCTCGACTACTCTTTTCACTGAGCGCTTCTATTGCGCCTGACTTGAACAGGAAATACATGGAAATTAGGCTGTGCATCGAGGGAGCTTGGAAGAAACAAGAAAAAGCACCATCGTTCGATATCTGGGGAATATATTTCGAAACACAATAGAAATTCTCGTGAGAGATGAATCTCTTGCTTTAGAAAAAGAAAAAAAAATAAACACCAAATGCTCTTACAACAATTTACTTAATGAAAATTTGTTCATTTTTCAAATTATTCCAATATACAGATTCAAGAATAATTATTATATATTATAGTAGCAAACTAACACCAAAAATATCAAATTGATACCAAAAATATTAAATTTATACAAAAAAATATAAAATCGATACAAAAAGTATATATAATTTATACCAAAAGTTTCAAATTGATACTATTTACTATTATCATAGCAACCGTTACTATGGCTTCAGTTACCATAACAACGGTTACTATATCAATCGTTACCATAGTAATGGTTAGTAATAATTTTTTAATAAGTATTATGTCTGACTAAAACCGAATTACACTACTGTCTGACGCTTGGAATTTTTTTTTAATTGTTTAATAGTACACTAAATGAAAAATCAGTAGTATAAGTAAATATTTAGTCAAACTTGTTACATTTTGTAATTTTATCAGTAGTACGATCCAATTTTAGTCAGACACAATTAATCAATTTGAAAATCAGTAGTAATAGTAAATATTCAGTCTGACTTTTTATATTTCATTATTTTCTCAGTAGTACAAATCGGTTTTAGTCAGACATAATTAAATAAATTCAAGAATCAATGGTAAACAGTTAATAATTAATATTTAATTTTTATATATTCATACCAAAAGTATCAAAATTGGTATAAAAATTTGGATCAATTTGATACTATTAATTTTAACTGTAATAATGATAAATGTTTTATGATTGTTGTATAAATAATTTGAAAAATAATACTATAGAAAAAGCAAATGTTAAATGTTTCAAATATATATAAAAGAAAAGTAAAGAATCTTATCTATATATAAGGTCTCAAAGTTTCGAAATCTAACGATTGAAAATGTTAGTACTTGGAAATCCTTCTGCTAAACCGAGGCTTATAACACGCCACTGGGAGTAAGAACTTATCGTAAATCTGTGTTTACTCTAAAAAGTTTGTTGCCTCGTGAAATCGGCTCAGAAAACCCTTTTCTCCACTGAGCAACAGATAATAAATCTTCATTTTTTTTCTCAAAGTTAGCCTAAAACAAGTTAATGTCATTGTACAAATCATCTTTTTTTTCTATTATTTACGTTTCTAATGCACCACAAAATTTATACTTGAGTAGATATATATCTACTGGAATTACTTAGTTAGACTTTCTATTCTTTTTGTACATTTTTTAGTAGATCAAATCCGTTATAGTCAGACAATATGACTGAATTAGAAAATCAGTAGAAAAGATAAATATTCAATCGGACTTTTATTAACTTTCTAAATTTATTAGTAGTAAAAATACATGTCTAGTCAGATTTACTAATTTTTTAAATTTTACCAGTAGGTCAAGTCCATATTTAGTCAGACTTTGTAATTTTGTCAGTAGTATAAGTAAATATTTAGTCATAATTTTTAATTTTTTTGTCAGTAGTACAAGTTCATATTTAATCAGACTTTGTAATATTTTCAGTAGTACAAGTAAATATTTAGTCAGACTTTTTAATTTTTTGTCAGTAGTACAAGTTCATATTTAGTCAGACTTTGTAATATTTTCAATAGTACAAGTAAATATTTCGTCAGGCTTTTTAATTTTATTATCAGTAGTACAAATATATATTTAGTCAGACTTTGTATTTTTATTAGTAGTATAAGTACATATTCAGTCAAACTTCTTAATTTTTTACCAGTAGTATAAGTCAATATTTATTCAGACTTTGTAATGTTTTCAGTAGTGCAAGTAAATATTTTATCAGCCTTTAATTACACGTTTGTAATTTTATCAGTAGTACAAGTAAATATTTAGTCAGACTTTCTAAATATTTGTAATTTCACTAGAAGCAAAACTTAAATTAAATTAACTAATATTAAATTGAATTGAATTAAACCAAAAATAGTTTTTCCCTTAAAGATCTTCGTTGTTTTTGTAAATAATGGCAAAAATTGAAATGTTTTTTTTGTCAAAATTTTTAGATTTATAAAATAATGTTCAAATGGAATTACTAGCGAAAAGCTTGACCAAGCGTGTTTCGCTCGTCTAATTCAACATCGCTTTACGGTTTTCAATATGACCCACATCAAACAAGTTATCTTCTTGAGCGTCCCTCATCAAGTCAACTAATCTCTTTGAAGTTATACAGTCTTTACTAATAATAAAGTAATAAAATTAATTATTAATAATAAAATAATAATAATAATTCACAGAAAATTTGCTATTTAAATTTATTATTGTATTGTTTGTGTTTAATTCATTTCTAATTTGTATCAAATTTATTTCTAAATTAGTTCAGGTCATTTTAAAAATTAAGTGAAAGTCATTTTAAGGATAATTAAGGTCAATATAGGTCATGTAAAGGTCATTTCCATTACAATCAAGGTTAAATTAAGGTCATTTCAAGGTCAATAAAGGTCAAGTGTAGGTCAATTCAAGGTCAATTAAGGTCATTTCAAGGTTAATAAAGATCAAATGAAGGTTATTTCCATAACAATGAAGGTTAAATTAAGGTCATTTCAAGGACAATAAAGGTCAGGAGAAGGTCAATTCAAGGTCAATTAAGGTTATTTCAAGGTCAATAAGGTCAAGTGAAGGGTATTTACATTACAATGAAGGTTAAAGTAAGGTCATTTCAAGGTCAGTAAAGGTCAGGTGAAGGTCAATTCAAGGTCAATTAAGGTTATTTCAAGGTCAATAAGGTCAAGTGAAGGGTATTTACATTACAATGAAGGTTAAAGTAAGGTCATTTCAAGGTCAATAAAGGTGAAATGAAGGTCATTAACATAACAATCAAGGTTAAATTAAGGTCATTTTAAGATTAATAAAGGTCAAATGAAAGTTAATTCAAGATTAATTAAGGTTAAGTCAAGTTAATGTTAAATCAATGTCAAGTCAAAGTCAAGTCTAGGTCATTTCAAGGTTGATTTGATCTTGACTTGACCTTGAAATGATCTTATCTTAACAATATACAAACAGTTGACGTATTAAACAAGAATAACACTAATAACTCCCCTCATCTTGTTAATATACTTTCTAATTTAGAGGCGGTAAAATTTTTTTACAAATATTAAAAAAAAAATATAGAATATTTTTTTTCTCGTTCTGTGACTGTAAGAGAATTTTAGAAACAAATTTCTACTGTCGAGCAATGTCATGATTCTATAGATGTGATGGTCCATTGTTCGTTCAACCATGGACAAATCTGTTTCAATTTGAAATCGCTGTTTGTCGTATATTGTTCCCTTTTTGTAGTGACATATCTTTTCTGTGTCTTAAAAATTTTAAAAAAAAATTTTTTTTTATAAATATAAGAGAAAAATTATTGCAAGAAATGTTTAATTTATATTTGATTTTAATTAAAACACAATTATTTCTAATTATAAATAAACTGATTTAATTTTTTATTATTTCTAAAATATTCTCATATTTTAATTTAATTCTTTTAAATTTTCGTGAATATTAAACAAAATATCTGAGTAATAAAAATTTTGATTTTGAGAATGTTTCATTGCTTAATTAATTTATTATCAATTAGATGATTCAAGTATAAAGGAAATATATTATATAACAAACAATAAACGTTTATTATTATAATCTTTACTCTCTGATTAGAATTAAGATTCTCGATTGTTATTGTTAAAATTATTACTAAATGTTCAGAATGACATAGCTATAAAGCATTATCGTAATCAAATTGTATCTCAGAGAGTATATATATAGACTCTTCTTCACGAAACCTACGTTTTGAATTACAAGATTAACTGACAAGAGTATATAGTATGCCTCACTAGCACAAAGCAAGTTTCCACTTCAAAATTAGAGGTTTACGATGTATCTAATGACGTTATTAAAGTCACACTTGCATGAAAGTCGAGCGTTTATGAAGAGAGAGGGAGAGAGAGAGTGAGAGACAGAAAGCTGAATCCCAAGGCAGCGGTAAATTTCTTGTCAGTAATAGAGGTAAACTAAAATAAACAGGAAGGTTATCGTGTGCATCCTCCTTCTTCCTTCCTTTCTCATTTTATGTTTTGATGCACTCTTTATTTCTGTCCCACTTTGCCTATTGTTCCCAAGATGTAGGTAAACTCAATGAGCATGACTTTGTCGACAATTCTAACGAGAGGAAAATGCAAAGCGTTTATTTTATACAACATTTCAAGAAAGTTCACGAGTACTTGACATTTTGATAAAAGGATGAAAATCTAAAATATATATATATACAAAGACGGAAAATTTAATGTGCATGATAAGCATATAAAGTTTATATATATATGCTTTAAATTATAAAATCAAATTATCAAAAATATGTTAAAATTAGATGAAACTTGTTTGCATTGGTATTTTAATATTTTTTTTTTAATATTTTGTTTCAGATGAATTGGTTTAGCAGAGTGTATTAATCTTTATTCGTAAGTAAAATACATTTTCTGTTAATAAATATTTACGATAAGATGTTATATTAATTTTAAATACTAACTGTTACATGGTAACGGTTGCTACACTAACCGTGGCTGTGGTAACCAATGCCATAGTAACGGATGCTGTGGTAACTATTGCTATTGAAACAGTTCTTATAGTAATGGTTGCTATAGTAACGGTACCAGTTAAGTTGGTACCAGTTACTATGATACCAGTTAAGTTGGTATCAGTTACTTCGGTACCAGTAACTTTGGTACTAGTTATGTTAGTACCTGTTACTTTGGTGCAAGTTACTATGGTACCAGTTAAGTTAGTGACTTTTAGTTACTGTGGTACCAGTTACTATGGTACATGTTACTATGGTACAAGTTACTATGGTACAAGTTACTATGGTACAAGTTACTATGGTACAAGTTACTATGGTACAAGTTACTATGGTACAAGTTACTATGGTACCAGTTAAGTTGGTAACAGTACCAGTAACTTTGGTACCAATTACTATGGTACCAGTTACTATGATACCAGTTAATATGATACCAGTTAAGTTGGTACCAGTTACTTCGGTACCAGTAACTTTGGTACTAGTTAGGTTAGTACCAGTTACTATGGTACAAGTTACTATGGTACCAGTTAAGTTGGTAACAGTACCAGTAACATTGGTACCAATTACTATGGTACCAGTTACTATGGTATCAGTTAAGTTGGTAACAGTACCAGTAACATTGGTACCAATTACTATGGTACCAGTTACTATGATACCAGTTACTATGATACCAGTTAAGTTGGTACCAGTTACTTCGGTACCAGTAACTTTGGTACTAGTTATGTTAGTACCAGTTACTTTAGTGCAAGTTACTAAGGTACCAATTACCATGGTACTAGTTATTATGGCACCAGTTACGTTGGTGCCTTTTAGTTACTATGGTACCATTTACTATGGTACAAGTTACTATGGAACAAGTTACTATGGTACAAGTTACTATGGTACCAGTTACTATAGTTTCAGTTACTATGGTACCTGTTACTATAGTACCAGTTACTGTGGTACCAGTTACTTCGGTACCAGTAACTTTAGTACCAGTAACTTTAGGACCAGTTACTACGGTACTATTTAGTTACTATGGTACCAGTAATTTTGGTACTAGTTATTTTGGTACCAATTACTTTGGTACCAGTAACTATGGTACCAGTTACTATGGTACCACTTACTATGGTACCAGTTACTATTTACCAGTTACTATGGTACCACTTACTATGGTACCAGTTACTATTTACCAGTTACTATGGTACCAGTTACTATGGTACCAGTTACTATGGTACCAGTTACTATGGTACCAGTTACTATGGTACCAGTTACTATGGTACCAGTTACTATGGTACCAGTTACTATGGTACCAGTTACTATGGTAGCAGTTACTATGGTACCAGTTACTTCGGTACCAGTTACTTCGGTACCAGTTACTTCGGTACAAGTTACTATGCTACAAGTTACTATGATACCAGTTAAGTTGGTATGAACAGTTGCTATGAAAACAGTTGCTGTGGTAACGGTTACTATAGTAACTGTTAACATGGTTACCATTACTATGGTAACAGTTGCAATGGTAATAATATGATAATGGTATAGCGAAATATAATCGTCCTTGCAAAGTGTTTTGGTCCTAAGTTGCGAAACCTTCAAAAAAAAAACATTTTATTAAATTAAAAACATTCAAAAAATTAGTATTAAAAATTAATTGCTTATTTTCTAATACATTTTGGATAACGTAGAACATTTCTTTTCTTTCAACACCCACAAGAATATAAACAGATCCAGAAAGATTGTAAACTTTAAAACGAAACGCAATTTCATTTTTATGACAGGAATTTATTATCAAAGTATGTTTTGTACACGTGTAAAGAACAAACGTAAGAAAAGTAACTTGGAAATACTTTTTTGATCCTTTTTGATGTATACATATCCATCGTGCAAACTTTCTCAAGACCAGCTGAACACTTTTTTATGGACCCTCTGAAAAAAAAGTACTTGAAGATGTGGTTTATCTTTTTTTTTCCGTATCCTTTTAACTTAATAAAAAGAAAAAAATGTTCATTTGTAACAATTTAATTTATATAGGTGAAAATATTTAATAATCTAATTTTTAAATTAGTTGTTCGATTGTTAAAAAGAAGATTTTAAATTATTTAAAGATTAGAAATAAAAATGTCCATTTTTTTAACGAAACAAAAGTGGACCATTATTTTCTCTTTCTCCATGGGTCAAAAAAAAAAAAAGGATCACAGCATCCAAATTTCTCATGGAATAAGTTCCAAGATTCTTTTGCTTTTCGCAATTTCAGAGTGCGAGTGGTTCGTGGTGCGAATCGTTTGGCAGAACTTTGTGAATCGCGTCCACTTATTCATGTCCAGAACTCGCTGGTAAAATCCCTCTTGCAAAGGAGGCTGTAGATGTACATATATATATATATATATAGGAGATGAGTCCTGTAGGATGCCGGTAGTTGGAGGTCTTTTGAAAGTTTTATGAAGTGGTACGGGAGGATGGCGCGTTTGTCTCTGGTGATTTCAAGTCCGGAATATCGTTCAAACTGTGTCTACATAGTGGACTTGAAAGGAACATTTCTTGTTAGATTTAATGAAACTTAACAAAATTAAAAAAATTACATCGTGTTGAAAAATAAAAGAAATTTTATCATTTATTATACTTTAATAAAGAAGATTTTTTAAATATAAAAATAATTTTCTCACCTGGGAGTCGATATTTTTTTTTAATCTCTAACTTACGCAGTACATGCGTAAGGTGGAGAGTCAAAAGTACTTAGGCTCTTGGATAGAGAGAGTTTTCCTCTCCTTTTTTTTTCCCATTTAAACTTGAAATTTCCCTTGGGGAAAATGGGGAAATTAAGAAAAATCGTGCCACACGCTCGTCCGTATCAATAAAGTAATTACTTTTCGCAGAAGCTTTCATTAGTAGTTAACTGAGGTCCGCGATGGCGATATTACGATACATCGCGCTTCCGGATCACGTAATTCTTTGGGTGAACCAACCAAGAACGCTTCCAACCAATCGACGCTCTCGACGAAACTATAAATCTTCGTTCGGTTTCGAGTCACTGCGGCATTTTTCTTTTATTTTTTCAAAGCCCATTCACCAAGACGGTTAATAAAGAAGAATCGATCATACAGCTGTAAAACTTGTATAGGATGCTTTCAAAAAGAAAAAAAAGAAAAGAAATAAATAAATACCATTTTTCCAAGCAGCTTTTGTATCAAAATTATTATTCAAACTGCAACTTTGGAAAAAAAACGAGAAAATTTTCATTATTTTTTTAATATCAAAGAATCAATAACTGAATTACAATTGCAAAAACCATTTTAATTATTACGTTATTCTGTGTTTTTTTTATTCACGATGATACAAATTTTTTTTTCTCTCAATTTCCCATCTTATTCCGTGAGCTCAGTTTAAAAGTGCAGAAAAAAAACGAAGGGACAATATTCAGGATAAACGGTTCATCCTCCCTGAGCAGAAAAAAAAGAAGAAAAGAATTTTTTGCTAAATGTTGCGTGAACTGAGGAGGAACGAATGTCGGTCACGATAAATCTTTTTGGGTTTTATCGTTACCATACTGCTAATGGAAAAATGAGCTGTGTGGAAGCTCGTAAGCTGAAAACGTTTTGTTCATTTTTTTTACTATTAATGGAAAAATTTTTGAAATTAAAAACTCAACTTTATGAGAGTTGATTTTAGCGCAAAATCTATCGACTAATTCTTAATCAAGACTAATTCGCGAATTTTCTCGATCAATTTAAATACCCGACTTTTTCCAGGTTAGCAGACACGCTGATTGTTCTTTTACGTTTTGTAATTTGACCACATCGTTTTCTTTTCTCCTTGACGAATTTTTTTTTTTTTTTTTCATCTTAAGGATTTGCTAACTTTAGTCGACAGAAAAGAAGACTGTCGTCAAGAATAAAGTTGACTATAATGATAGTTGAACGAGCGTCAGGTTGGCGGAACGAAGACACTCAAATCGACTCTTTCTCTGTTTCTCTCTCTCTCTCTCTCTCTCTCTTGAGAGACAGAGAGAAAGGAAGAACAATGAGAAAACCTTTTGTACCGAGTGATAACTATGCGGTAAATGAACGAGATTCTTCTCCTTTCTCTCTTAGGAAATATTCAACAAATTTCGATTATTTTTTTTTTTTCAAGTTTAGTTTAACAGCATTATCAATTTTCATAATTGTGACTATTTTATTTAAAATTCAAAATATATTCTTTTTTAAATTTATATACGTATATAAACTTTCCTAGCTGAAAGAAAATAGAATGTGGCATACCATTTGGAATTGAAACGACTTGATTAAAACTTCCATAATTGGAATGGTGGAATTAAAACTTTTCTACTGCATAAATAAAAGTAGTGAATTGTTCTCAGTATATAGATATATATATATTGTGTATGAGAATTAATGTAAATTTATTTCTTAAAAAAATTCAATATTATTCTTTGTTGATTTATTTAAACTTTAATGTCGTTAGTTTTAATTTGAATTTTTTTTGCTTTTTTCTATTGATTTTCAACTATTGTCATTATGGCAGACTAAAACCGTTTTCATCCTCTTATATAATTGCCACAAAAAACTAACAATAAGAGTCACTAAATATTTAGTAAATTAATCAATTGATTAGAAGTAAAGAAACAGATATTGCTACTATATAATTCATCCAGAAATTCATCTTTTTCCTCACGAGAAACGCAACCACTTTCTTCCAGTCGTTTCATGTTTTGCACTCAATGCAAATGAGTCACTATGGCAATTTACGTTTCCATTAGCCTCTTGCGTTCAACCCTTGGCCACAATTAAATTGCCTTCGCTTGCAAAAACTCGCGGCATACTCAACGTTTTAGTCTTGCAATCACTTTTAAGATATTTTATACATATATATATATAAACCCCAGGGGCAAATTGACGTGGAATGACACAT